TCGGTTTTATTATCATCGACGTTGCTGCATTTTGAAAAATCTCTGTCAGTTCGGCTACGGCATCATCTATTCTGATGTCTTCAAGAGTTTCTGCAGCTTTATAAAGTTACTTTTATTATCAGGACTAGTGAGGTTGTATCGAAATTGTTCTTTNTCAGACGATCTCCATTTAAACTTTGTCCAAGAGGTTTCAGGTGATGATTGTTCATCATGATGGTCTAAAGTTAGAGACTTAAACTGGCATAAGACAGGAAAATGGTCAGAGTCACAATAAGGCAGAATTTCAAAGTTCTCTACATAATCATAAATGTTACTCGACACAATCACATAATCAACTACGCTTTTTCCATTGTGATTTATAAATGTGTATTCACCTTCTATGTCTTTTCCAGCTAGTCCATTTAACACATGCACATCGAATGTTTTACAAAGATTAATCAAACTAGCTCCGAATTTATTAACATTTTCGTCTTTGGACGATCGACGAATGTTGAAATTATCCACATTATAAGCATCTTTACACACAAGATAGTCCGCTGTGTCATCTAGAATGAAATCCTGGTCCAATCCTATCCTAGCCACATTCAAAATTTAGGTTTTCGCTATAACTCGATTTTATATATTGTAAAGTTTTTTCAAAGTTAATAATTCCATTTGATATATTAATTCAAAGTGTTCTGATTTATACTTTATTTCACAGTGTTTCAATGAATATTTTTTTTCACAGTGTTTTGATAGATATGATATTTCACGCTGCTCTGTTCACGCTGCTCTGATTAATATATCAATTCAAAGTGTTGTGATTGATGGTTGAATTCACAGTGTTTTGATAGATATTTTATTTCATGCTGCTCTGATTGATATATCAATTCAAAGTGTTGGTGTTCTTAATGCTATTTCATTTCATAATATTGTGATATATTTTCATTTTGATGAATATACTGAACAGATAAGAAACGTCACAAAGCAGCAAAGCACATAGTGAATTGTTTATTTAAATTTCAATAACAAAATAGATAATTGTCAGAAAACAACCACATTTCGCACAAATGATTGTTTGAGTGTCTTTCAAGTTATTGCTATGAGATATCGAGGTTCTGATCACGTGATCTTTGCAAATGGAGGCTGAAAGTCAGTATCTGGTGTGTCCACCTTGTGCGTTGATAGGCGTTCGACATCTTCTGTACATGGAATGGCACAAACGATTTACTGGAATCTGCGTCCATATTCTCAGGAAAGCTGCACTGAGTTCTGCTGCATTTCTTGGAAGTGGTTGGATCTGGGTTTGTCAGCCCACAAGTGTTCTATTGGGTTTAAGTCCGGGCTGTGTGAGGGCCATAGCATTACTTTGATCTTATGCTTTTGGAGGAAGGTTCTGATGGCTATGCAGTGTGTTGACGGACCCCTGTATGAACGGCAACAAGACAGGTTCTGGGAGGCAAGCAATGACGAGCTGTCTGTGCCACTGTGGTGAATCTGCCATGCAGATGTTGCCGCAGGATAAAGCGTTCTTGTCTTGGTGTTGCAAATTGGGGACGACCACTACGTGGACGGTCATCAGTGCTGTTGGTGGTGCTTTAACGAATCCGAAGCTTCTCGATAGTTCGTATATCAAAGTTAAATGCATTGGCAATGACTAGAGCATGTTGTCCGGCATTTAATCGTCCGATAGCTTGTTCATGTTAATGGGAGGTTAGACGTGTCATGAGCTCTCTGTCGTCACACCAACTGAATTCTCAGTAGGCGTCAGTTTGTTTTTATACGGAACTCTGGTACATGTTGCACGTGCATTCCGATTATCTTCCGCATCACTTACAACTTGCTCCCATGGATATCATCAGTTGAATGTCATAAACTGGCCTTTTTAGAGTCTAAAAATCACATTTATGAAGAAAAATAACAAGTTTGATCGTCCAAATAATCTAAAAATGTGACTTTTTTGTATCTATTTAGTATATTTCATTTCATAGCATTCTGTATTTCTGATATTTGATTGCACAGTTTACGCATTGTTTTGATTTCCATATTCTATTTCAATGTGAATTTATTTTTATACGCCCACATGAATATGTGGTCGTATATTGTCGTCGCCCCTGTCCGTCGGTCTGTCCGTCCGTCCCTCCGTCGGTCCGTCCGTCAACATTTCTTGTGAGCACTATAGATACTACAGTTTTTATCTGATTTTGATAAAACTTGATGTGATGCTTTAGATTGATAAGATCTCGGTCAAGTTCTAACTTGACGCATTTTCGATGAACGGTTTTTGAGTTATTGCCCTTGACTTTGTTAAAACGCGTAGAAATTTGTTAAAAATAGTTCGTGAGCAGGATTGACGCTACAGTTTTCATCCCATTCTGATGAAACTTGGTGTGATCATTGGAATTGATAAGATCTCGGACAAGTTCTAATTTGACGCATTTTCAATGAACGGCTTTTGAGTTATTGCCCTTTACTTTGTAAAAACGCGTCAAAATTTGTTAAAAATAGTTCGTGAGCAGGATTGAAGCTACAGTTTTCAACCGATTCTGATAAAACTTGGTGTGATCATTGGAATTGATAAGATCTCGGACAAGTTCTAACTTGACGCATTTTCGATGAACGGTTTTTGAGTTATTGCCCTTGACTTTGTTAAAATGCGTCGAAATTTGCTAAAAATAGTTTGTGAGCAGGATTGAAGCTACAGTTTTCAACCGATTCTGATGAAACTTGTTGTGATCATTGGAATTGATAAGATCTCGGACAAGTTCTAACTTAATGCAATTTTGATGAACGGTTTTCGAGTTATTGCCCTTGACTTTGTAAAAACGCGTCCAAATTTGTTCGTGAGCACAATAGAAGCTACAGTTTGAAACTTGGTGTGATCATTGAAATTGATAAGATCTCGGACAAGTTCTAATTTGACGCATTTTCAATGAACGGTTTTTGAGTTATTGCCCTTTACTTTGTAAAAACGCGTCAAAATTTGTTAAAAATAGTTCGTGAGCAGGATTGAAGCTACAGTTTTCAACCGATTCTGATGAAACTTGGTGTGATCATTGGAATTGATAAGATCTCGGACAAGTTCTAACTTGACGCATTTTCGATGCACGGTTTTTGAGTTATTGCCCTTGACTTTGTTAAAATGCGTCGAAATTTGCTAAAAATAGTTTGTGAGCAGGATTGACGCTACAGTTTTCAACCGATTCTGATGAAACTTGTTGTGATCATTGGAATTGATAAGATCTCGGACAAGTTCTAACTTAATGCAATTTTGATGAACGGTTTTCGAGTTATTGCCCTTGACTTTGTAAAAACGCGTCAAAATTTGTTCGTGAGCACAATAGAAGCTACAGTTTTCAACCGATTCTGATGAAACTTGGTGTGATCATTGAAATTGATAAGATCTCGGACAGGTTCTAACTTGACGCATTTTCGATGAAATGTGTTTGAGTTAATGCCATTCACTTACGAAAAACGCGTTAAAATTTGTTTGTGAGCACAATTGAAGCTACAGTTTTCAACCGATTCTGATGCAACTTGGTGTGATCATTGGAATTGATAAGATCTCGGACAAGTTCTAACAAGAGATATTTTTGATGAACATTTTTTTGAGTTATTGCCCTTGACTTTGT